TCCTGAAATCGCTGACCGAACTCGCGGATCACACGATGGAGCTCATAGATCTTGTCTCCTTCCAATATCAAAGCATTAAACTGATCCCTCAGCGTCAACAGCGATATCGGAGCGTGCCATCCCAAGAATTCACGCAGAGCGGTACTCTCGATGCGAATGCGAACAACTGGAAGGACACGGTCAAATAGTTCTTCATGTCGCTGATCGCGGCAGTCAGTAGGAGATCTGTTTCCTTGCTGGGTAGGAAGCCACGCTGGATGGGAGAAGCTATTTCGGGAAAGCTCGATGCAGATAGAGCGTTCCGCTTCCAACATCTGAAGCAACCGAAGGGCAACTTTGGATGCATCGTCTTGCGAATTATCGTAAGCCACAGCAACCCGAGCGATGCGGCGTTGAACAAATTCAGCAGATAGTTGCTTTTGAAGCACACCGATGGACCGCAGCAAGTTGATCATCTCGCGGTAGGTATCATTGCGACAATCAGATGGTAGCCAGAAGTCTCCGGACAGAGCTAGGTCGACAAGAGCACTGCTTGGGTCGACGAGATCCTGCGGTGCTCGATATACATTGGATGCATTCATCGCAATGAATCGCGTAGCCTTCAATCTTTCGAGTGTGTCGTATGAACGAAGGGTAGGAGACTCCGCAAGACGGCGGAGGAAGTCGAGCTGCAGCGGTGGGCTTTGCTCAGAAAGATGCTCGATTGCGAGCTCTACAACGTCTGCTTCTTTCAATACATTTCTCGCAGCATGATAGTCAATGTGATCCATCAGGCGAGCAGAGTCGGTTATCAGAACAAAGACAACGCCAGAGACCCTTGGTACAATTGATGGCCTTTCTCCGGCGATGCAATGAATTGTAGCATTGGTAGGTATTGCCGATAGTATGTGTTCGACCCCGCATCGTTCACGATTTTCGACTGGGGTCAAAATGCAGTATATTGGCAAAGAGCGCAATGTCGCTTTTTGCGCATTCGTTAGGTCCCCAGTCCTTGACAAGCATGAAGCGACATGCTCGCGGAATACTTTAGCCTCGTCGTCATTTAGTTTGGGCTTTGCGTCGACGTCTAATGAGTCCATAAGATCGCCCGCATCGTGGGGATCCTTGATTGTGTGAGATGCGCTGCTTTTCAAGAATTGCAACGCGGAAGCGGGGAAAGATGTTGACAGGAAGACCAACCCAAGCGAGGTCAAAACGGTTTCTAATGGCCATTCTCTATGCTCGAGCTGCATAAAGGCACCGTCTTGAATCGTTCGATATTGGTTCTGGGATGTCGGCAAAAGAGGCATTGACAGTATGGATCGCAGCAACGTATTTGCATTATTCCATGAAGGGATCCAGCTCCAGAATCGAGTCAGCCACTCCATGGAGATCGAGCGGAGTACCTTGTGCAGATAGTCAACTACTCGGACATGACTCAAGCACCTGACGTTAAGTGATCTGACGCCATGCGTCACTAGTATCTTTGCAACACCATTCGGAAGTCGATGCAATGCAATTGCATCAGGGTCGTAATGTTGAAACAGACTAGTTTCTACTTCGGCCAGAAGAGTGCGAGGTGGAGCTCCAAGCGTGGAAGTCAGTGCAACCTCGCCGTTGGAGACAGTGGGTACGAATGGAATCTCGGATAGAAGCGAGGCGTCTCCTGACGAGGTTAGATAGCTCAAGATTGACATTTTGGACGGCCAGTCGAGTTGAGGAAGAAAGGCATGGGTGTGTCCCTAAATGACAGCACCATCACGACGTATATGCAATGGATTTGGAACGACCCACTAACCTGAAGTTCGACGTGAGCAGTTTGTGGACTCAGCCATCGAACCTGTTCATGCTTGAGCATGTCGCCGATGTACGTAGGAGGTTGCATGATAGAGAGTCTAGCCCTCGCGAGAGCTTGCAACAACTCCGCTTCCACGGCGGCTTCAGCGACGAGGATTTCATTCATTTCCGCAAAAACGGTTGGCTTTTCATCCGTTTCTGAGTGTCTCAAAGGCCAAACGCGAAGTTTTTCCTGCAACACCGTGGAGAGGAGCTGTTCAGGAAGTCCCTGCCAGTACACAGATTCTCCACTATAACCTTGATGCTGCGGTGGCGGCCATGCTGAGTAAATGTCATCTGTGAAGTCTGCGCGATCGGCGAGACTTTGCAGGAGAGCTGCCCAAGCTCTTGGAATGAAGGTTTGAAATAAGACATGGTTCCATTCGATGAGGAGTCTAAAACGATATCAGTGCAACTCGATGGCGACGTTGAGAGATACACGCACCTATCGCGACTTCGTTCGAGAATGACCTCTCCGCTGTTCCGGAGATGATCTCTCGAATCCGTGAGAGCGAAAAGCGCATGGATATGGCAGGGGAATCCTGTGTTCAAGGGTAGCGGAAGATATGTGAATAACCTCCCCGACGATGTTTGATGGGAGAGTGGGAATGCAATCGCTACGGGACTACCGCTCGTCGGGCACAGCTTCTCAGCTTTGAGATCGGCCAGAACATCGTATTCGCTATCTACTCCTAAGCGCTCCTTGAGAGCTTTGACGCAGTCCTCCTCGGCGAAGGATGCATGCAGGATATGCCAATCGTACGAATCGTTTTGCGTGGCTTCATGATTGAACCGACGCACGTTGACCCTGCTGTCTGTAAATTGAACAGATCTGCTAAGAGTCTGAGCAACGGAGGGCTCCCGCTCAATGTCCGCTTCGCCAACCACACGAGTTGTGCCATCATCGTCGAGTATGATGAGCTCAACGCGAGTGATATGCGAGAGGAAGAGCATAGCAATGGGTAATTCTTTTTCAACAAATTCCACCATGAGCTGTTCGATCTCGCTGATATCAGGGACTTTGGAGCTGATCAGGCTCCTGTTCTCGACTTGACGCAATGGTAGCCGTATAATTGTACTGTCAAAATTATTGCTGAGGTTCGCGGGCAGAAAGTGCCCGAATGGCGATAGCTGGTCGGGATAGTTCTGACGTATGTCCACGAGAGGCCATTTCTTGCCTCCTTCTGGGATGATGCGGCGATGCGGGTCGAAGATGACTAAGGAGTCTCCAGAAAGAACTTCAAGGTTGTCCGTGACCTAACAGGCATCAGTATCGCCCGCTAAACGACAGAGCTGATGCCTCGTTGACTTACATGATAGCCGGAGCGAAGTCCGATTCCGTACTTTCCGATTTTACTGAAGATAAGAGATAAGAACGCTGAAGCGCGATGTCTGAGAACGACATACTCAGTATTTATCTTCTTCGACGAGCGATTGATGTTCTGCAGCGACTCCCAGTCACTCTCGCTGAACGTGGCGTCATTGTAAGCAAGTAGTGCAGGGCCTTGTAGGCTCAATAGCCTCTGATCAATGATCGAATCGTGACGATGCACGCGAGTATCGAGTAAGAAAATCTGTGTATGTGTCGAGGTCACATCGCCATCCTACGCTGTCTGCGATGATTCCATACCTGTTTCTTTGCTTCTGCGTCGTCGGAATTCTGGAGCAGCTCCCTAAATATGCCAATGCTGAACGGATACCGTTTGAGAATTGATTCGATATTGGCGGTTAGATCGACCACTTCGCCGAAAGCACTCATGTTGTCGACGAGAGCGCGATCACAGACAGAGATGCAGAGGAGGAAACGAGCGAGACAGGAGGCTCACAAGCGTGCCGTGATCATATATGTACTAGGTTCTTCTTGCCTCGAGGCTTTGGTTCAGTGGGCCCCGTTCACACGTGGTACCTCTGCGAAGCCTCCGCGCGATCCTCGGTATTCTGTCCCCGGGCCCTCATCAGGAAAGTATCTCGCTTACTTGGCTCCCAGAAAGTCCCAGGACCTACTTGAAGCTGCTTATACAAGCGAGTTGAATAGTAGGCTAGGCTCTGGATCCTCGATGCAGAGACGCTGGGACTGTTTTAGACCTCAACGCTGCAGCACACATAGGTGAAGATTTCCGGGACGCAATACGTTGATGCTGACGCTGAGCATAAGTAGTGCGTACAGGCTTTGAACTCGAGTCCAAGAACGTCACGGTACGCCGTGCAGCTCACGCATCCAAGTTCAAAGTAACGGCTTAAGTCCATATTGCATTTATATACATTTACTATTGGATGTGGCACAGAGGCACTTTGGTCAAACCCCCGCGAGCGTGACGTGAAGCATATCAGGTCGGAACGATTTGAACACTATGCTCACGGGCTTGAGGGAGCCCATACAGCTTTTGGGTGCCTAACTGATCAGGTTCAATACTTATTTCTAGTAGATACTCTACAATACCGTGTGGCGTGCACCCACTGGATGACTTCGTTGAAGCATCCTACAACAGTTATGATGCATACTGCGCCTTTCCATGAAATATTGAATATCTATGTGCCTTCAGGTTGTAGGCTGACAGGCCATCATTGGCTGGTATGACAGGTCCCAAAGGTCCAACTTCCACTGGCGCAATCACTCAGATCTGAGCTGGTTCAACGCCGGGTATCTGTATAGAAGTCCGTGCCTTCCCCTTCAATAATTGACATTCACAGAAAATGGTACGTCTGATGCACAGAGACGAACCACCTCTTGCAGAATCTTTGCCTGAACCCAAATGGAATGGTGCGTCTCTAGTAGCGACAATTGAAGCTATGTGGCGCTCAAACGATATCTCATCCAGAGGACCGTGATACTTCTCGGCAGAACCGGTCCCGGTTGCACAACCAAGTTCAGGAGCCATTGCGCTAGATATCTCGGCGCACTGTTGGCGTATAGACAACGCGTAGGTGCTGGGAAAACGTGTAGCTTGACGGGGGGAACGTGTAGCTGCTCAGCGTGTTGCAATGAACAGTACATCCGATGCTCCAGTGGCGTCGAAGGGTGATCAAGCATCCAAATCATAGCAACCGCCACCAGTCGTTACGCCGATCGATCAGGCGATTGTTTCAGTAAGGCGATGCAGTCGCTCGCCTGCCGGGTGAAACACGTCGAAGGCAAAACGTGGTACTGGTGTGGTAGGACGGCAGAATGGTGAACGGGTGGCTCTGAATGCGGTCTCACTTCTGAAAACAGTGACAATATGTGCTCTGACGCGGTAGCCGCGTATAAAATGTGCGTACATCCCCGGTGAACCGCATCCTCATATTCTCCCAGTCTACTTCCATAGCTTACTGGTCTAGTCAACATTGCCATGAATACCTCAGGCCGATATCCTAAGGGGTTCGCGCTCATCGTGAATGTGATCGAACCTGGTGCCGGTACAAATACCATAAAACAGCACCACAAATGCAAGGTGGCGATTGAGAAGAGATTGTCCGATGCCGGGTATCGGGTACACCATTTATTCCTGCCGGTGTCAACTTTCAAGCTCATATATTAACATCAGTTTGCCAGGTCATCGCGGAGGACCATGAAGCCTCTTGCTTGTCCAAGCCCGGTGTTAAAGTCTATGAAGGCGTTTCGATGGCGGCTAATAATGTATGTCTATTACTGTGTCTTCAGCAAAGTAGCTGACAACAGCCCAGTGGATGCACCCCCTCGCAAAGAAATGGACCTCTCGAGGCCGAGTAGGGCTGAAGCACATCATAATATGGAGAGCGAGGGCAAATCGCTCCGATGGCTTCAGGAACTCGAAGGTCGCGCCCCTCGACCTACAAGAATTGCGCTACGTACGTACCCCTTCTATCTCACATTCAGAAAATGAAATATGTCATATAGACGGGAATCCACCTGTCCCTAGTGACTGTTGGCGCCTTATCTGCTGGAGAGGAACGCGTGTTCCGTCTTGTGAGTGATATTAGTTGAGCTCTGTGAACAATCTCTGACGTGCTCGCTTTCTCAGCACTATGGGGACTCAGCTCCGGATGACCCCACTGGTTGGGAGGGATGGCCTAGGTTTGGTGTCCCCTGTGCATTGTACGGTTTCCCTATCCCGCGATATATCCGTAAGAACATTCCCCCTTTTATAAAAATATGATCTCACGGCTCATGCTGTCAACGTGCATCCATACAGCACCCTGGGAGATGTATGAAGACCGGGCATTACCGAAGGAGAAAGAGAAGGGACGAAATGATTTCCGGATTGCAGCGCGCACATCCACACTCAGTCCACACGCTGAGCAGGCCGCGCCCGCTGTTTCCTCAAACCCTTCTAGCACTCGCGCCCAGGCACCCTCAGGATATATGCAAGCTGCTCATCCTCAAAGCAGCCCAGTCCAGCAGCCGATGCTCCCGTCGTTCGACTGCGACTTTAATACTGTCGGAGGGCATATCTACCGGAAACGGTCCCATGCTGCAAGCGACCCGCAAATTCCAGATGTTCCCTCGGTACCAAACAAGCGTGCTCGAGTATCACTCATGCCAACAAGACCCTCAACAAGCTGTTCGTTGTCGTGGACTCAGGTTGAGCGGACTAATGCCGATATGGACACTGGCTTTGTAATCGAGCCGGCCCTTGCCTCTAGCGCAATCACTTCGCTTGCTCCACTGGACTTCATGCCTTCCGATATAGCGCGCGATATCTTTGCGGATGCTATCGGCTGCTGGGGTGCAGAAAACCTGAATATGCCTCCGATTTTGTCATGCGACGACCAATATGCGTATGGCGACTTTATGGAGTCATTGACACCGCCCGCAATCATGTTGGCTGAAGCGACTTCGTTCGAAGCAGCAATCCAGAGCAATTTGGCTGTGGACCACACTACTCTGGACGATGAGATGCTTCAGATGTTTTGGCAGTATCATGCTGATATGATCTCAGAAGAAACAATTGCGGCTCAATCTGCAGGCGAAGGCGCTGAGGACCATCTGGACACATTCACGAGGAATATGATCTCTGGTGTAGACGAGGGAGCTGGAAAGGCGGATGATACTGATTACACTGACGTACCATCCTTCGGCCCACCCTGGTGTGATTCGGGAGCTGCTGTGGAGGTATTCGAGGACAATTCGCTATCCGACGAGCTTTTCACTGCCAGTCAGACGTCCCTACCTGTCTTCGCAGTCGATAGCAACATTTGTGGTTATCATCCCGGTGACGACGACTGTGAGTCTCTGCATATTGTTTTTGACTAAACTCACATTGCTGATCCATTGCTCGTATAGATCAGGATCTACTTGAACTGATGTTGCATCCCAGTGATACCTCCATTTATAATGCCGCCGTGGAAGGCAACGAGTGCCCTCAATATCAAGGAGGCTTCGGTTATAACGTTCTCGAAGACGGTATAGACGACCCGCACAGTCTCCATAGCGGTGGCGATCTAGGTCACGACAACTGCTCTTATGCGCCACGCGATTTTTCAGAGGATGCACTCTATGGCAGTTACATCGATGGGTCTGTATTCCTGGAATACAGTGACCCTTCAGCCTCATTGGTTTCAGAAGGCAAGACACATATCTTGTATCATTTATAATCGCTCATCATGCTCCGGTCCAGATTTAGACTCTGAATCGTTAAGCTCAGCCTCTGAAACAACCTTGGCAGACGGAGAACACTTCAACATTGCTGTTGCTTGTGATAAGCTAATGGCGCGATATTCTTCAAATCCAGAAGACGCTATATTCGACTCCATTCGGCGTAAGTCCGCTTTTACCACCGTAACATGTCTCACGTTGAAACCACAACATATTCAGTATGGTACAATTCCTTCTGCACCGAAACTGTCAAAGATTCTCAGGCAGAATACGAGGCGCATGATGAGGACGGAAAGACCATACCAGACGAGCGATTCAACAGGCCTGCAATGGCAGATACATCAACATCTCAACTTACCTGAAACCCTCCGAATAAGGGTCTCCTATTTCTACTTGCAGTACGCAAGACTCTATTGCAAGCCATGTCGTCAAGATTTATTGGTACAGTTTCTCGTCGTCTGACTCACGGTGTTCTCCCTATACATATTTATGCGGCTCTTGTAAACTGTCACGAATATTTGCGCGTCACTGATGTTCATTGTACATCTTGTATTGGAGATCGTCCCACATTTTATGTAACTGATATAATGAAAATGATTTATTTCCCTCGAGCCTGGTGTAAGTTCCAACTTCTACCACTCCGAGAAAACGGATCAATGGAGCACGTGCTTTGATCGATCACCGAGTCAAGCAATAATCATCTCAAGCTCGAGCAACATGTTTCATTAACGTTCACCACATCCAACACTCCTAGCTATGGCTGCTACGGCAGAGCAGAAGTACGCGCTCATCATTCGAAGATTGCAGGAGGTCTTTGGAGCGGATTCCATCAAGGCCATCCTCGACGAAGGACGTACACCAAAATGCTACTGGGGTGAGTCGTGCTTTTACTGACGGATTGATCGTATCTCAAAGATTGGGTAGGGACGGCACCAACTGGCAGACGTAGGTGTGCTTCGACGACATTCCATGTAATGCAGATCATGAATCTCTGGACATCGCAGCACATATCGGCTACTTCGTGCCATTAACGAAGATCGCTGACTTCCTACGAGCTGGAGTTGAGGTTACAATCCTTCTAGCAGGTGAGTAGCCTTTGCGTTTGTATTTTGAGAAGACCTCGGAACCTTGCGACCGGGTCCACTGATGGTTGGCGATGGCACTGACCCTCCCAACAGACGTTCATGCATTCCTCGACAACCTCAAGGCACCACTCGAACTCGTCGCCTACCGCACAAATTTCTACAAATTTGTCCTCTTGACCGTCTTCAAATCGCTCGGCATTCCAATCAACAAATTGCGCTTCATCGAGGGCTCATCCTACCAACTCACGAAGGAGTACAACCTCGACAACTATCGACTATGCGCGATCGTCACGGAGCATGACGCCAAGAAGGCCGGCGCGGAGGTCGTGAAGCAGGTAGAGAGCCCGCTACTGAGCGGTCTGCTCTACCCGGGTCTGCAAGCGCTGGATGAGCAGTACCTTGGCTGCGACTTCCAGTTCGGCGGTGTCGACCAGGTACGTGGCCTCTTCCTACCTCGTCTTGTCCAACCGCGGCTATAACGCGCTTCCCGCCATAGCGCAAGATCTTCACCTTCGCCGAGCTCTACCTCCCGCGCCTCGGCTACGCAAAGCGCGCACACCTCATGAACCCGATGGTACCAGGCCTCGGCGGGGGCAAGATGTCCTCTTCGGACCCCGACTCGAAAATCGACTTCCTCGACGCGCCCGACGTCGTGCGGCGCAAGATCAAGAAGGCCTTCTGCGAGGAGGGCAACACGACCGACAATGGCGTGCTCGCGTTCGTGAAGGCCGTGCTCATACCGATCAGCGAGATGCGCCTCGAGCGCATCCACGGCGACACGGGCGCAGACGCGGACGAAGGCGTGGAGGCGCTCGGTGACCAGACGCCCTTTGCGCTCCCCGGTGCACCGGAGGGCACCGTGTTTAGCGTCTTTAGGAAGGAGGAGTACGGTGGCTCGCTGCATTACCAGAACTTCCTGCAGCTCGAGCAGGACTTTGCGGAGAAGAAGGTACACCCGAAGGATTTGAAGACGGCGGTGGCGGATGCGATCGTGCGCCTGCTCGACCCTGTTCAGAAGGCGTTTGGGGAGAGCGAGGAATGGCGCAAGGTCGAGCAGCTGGCTTACCCCGATCTTAATGCGAAGCCGGAAAAGAAGAAAAAGAAGGTAGGTACTCCAGGAACAACTCTCCTGGACTCAGCTGAGACGTTTTTGTCACAGGAAAAAGTGTACCATCCGCCTCCACCGGGCAAGGGCAAGAACGCTAAGCCCGCTGCCGAGGAGAATGCAGACGGCGTGGCGCCACCCGGAGCAGCTCATTCTGCAGCAGAAGCTGCGAAACAGCAGGAGGCATCATCTTGACGCACTGTTCCTCTTCTGGGTTTCATAAGGAGGTAGTACTTGTATCTTTGTGTCCGACCATATATCCCAGAACGCTACGGTCATTCGAATTCGCTAGAAGCATGCGTGTTCTGATATTACATTGATGTTGAATGCATGGAGACAAGCGACATAACGTGCCAAGATCCATATGCAGCTATCATCGAAACGCACATATCATCTCAATAGCCCATCGCTATTGAGCACGCTGGGAGTCCCGCTGCCGGCTTGTGGTCGTCTCGACTTTAACGTACTCGCTCTCTTCATGGGCCTCATCCTGGTCCTTCCTGACCGCCAGGTACGCCTCGCCCAAGATCTGGAGCGCCACCGCACGTAGTTGCGCTTTGCTCCGTGGTATTGCCGGGTCCTCCAGGATCCGATCGCAAGTCTCGCGCAGGACTGACTCAATCTCAAGCTTCGTGCCCTGCGTTCGACGAATTCTAGTTTCTGAGCTGCAAATAGCGCATAAAGACGCACCTTGAACAACGCCTGCAGACCCTTCTCGGCCGCCTGTTCCTCAAGCCTCCGCTTCTCTTCTGCACTCAGGTTGCCTGCCTGCTCCGCCGCTTGGATCTGCTCGAACACGTTCTTGAGGTCGATGGCGGCACGTAGTGTGGATACCCTGAAAAGTCATGGAAGAATGCGCAGTAACGCGGACTGCTCTCAATAAAGGAATGGGAGGACTGTTGAGGGACGCACGTCTCGCTGAATACATGGTACTTGCCCTGCACGTTGTGCAGCCATCCGCCAACGCCGAGGAACGTCTGTGCGGTTGCTTGGTACTGCTTGGCCTTGGAGACGTACACAAAGCCGATCGCGTGAAGGAGATCTGGTCCATACGACTCTTTCTTGAGCTCTCTGTGATCCATTAGATACATCGACTAGCGATCCGAAAGGGACAACGTACTCGGCGTCCAGCTGACATATCGTTCGCCAACTTTGTGTCACCTGCCGATCGTCCGGGCCTGTTGCTGACTCTGTGAAGATCCCGAGCTTGCGCTCCAGATTCTCCACAAGCTTCTGTACCCGTTCTGCGCGTACAGTCGCTTTCTGCGTTGTGAATGCGTAGAATGAACTCCCCGCATGAAGCCGCGCCAGTCAAGAGTGCTCACCTCTGCAGCTATTTTACGCGCCTTCTCTTCCCGTCGTGCCTTTTCTTCCGGAGTTAAAATCTCCCGCCCCTTCGCGTCGCGCTGAACCTGCTTCCCATTCTCCTCGTCCTCCATGTCATCCGCTTCTTGCAGCGCCGCCTTCATATCCTTGGCAAGGCTAATGTGCCCAATGATAGGCACGAACCGCTCGCCGCCGAAGATGGTACCGAAGACCTCCTGCAAGAGCATATAGTCCTCCAGTCAACGTGCTGGAAGACAGAGTAATTACCACACACCTCTGGGTCAACGAATCCACCCTCCGGCGCGCTTTCCTTTGCCCCGAACTCATTATACTTCTGTCGTAGTTCAGGATCAGACAATGTCTGGTATGCAATCGCGATTTCCTTGAAGCGTTCCTCTGCATGAGGATCATCAGGATTCTTGTCTGGATGATTCTTTATCGCAAGTCGCCCTGACAAGTAATGCTATCAGCACAGACCTGCAGGTTGACCATTGGGCAGAGTCACGAACGATATGCTTTCTTGATATCGTCTGTCGTCGCATCAACAGGAACGCCCAATATGTCGTAGTACTTCTTCTCCAGTGGCTTCTCCTGCGTCCCAATCTTTCTCCCCCGGCGTGGCGTTTGGTTCTGCGATGATGTCGAGCCAGAGCTCTTGGATGCATTTATACCACCGATGTTTGGGACCTGAGACGGATAGAAGGCATGGGTGATAGTAGAATGACAGTTGTAGCATTGGATATTTAGGATGGTCCCAGCGCGTGGCGCAGGCGAAGGTACCGGAAACTCCAGGAGATAGTTGCACTGCGAGCATGTAGTGGGTATGTGAGGCGTAAGCGGTCGTGATTCTATGATGCCATAGGCCGAGTTCATGATGGTCGTAAGTCAAGGCGGGCAGCGTTTCGCACGATGACCTATGACCAAGTAAGGCTTCAGTCAGTACGCGCTGGGGCGCGGGCATTGACACTGAGCTGCAACACATTAGCTGACTTGCCTCCCAATGGCAACGTTGGCAGCCCAATAAATGCACTGTGGGAACACTGATAACGACCCGAATGCCCTGAATAGCGTAGCTAGCTGAGTCTCACGGCTCGCTGCTCACACCGTATGCACACTTGTCTCGAAGCAGTCGCCTTCTACGATACGTGGGATGACCTCTGTGAACGCATACTGGGAGCAACACAGATAGGGACACATATAACTCGCGCTGTGATGCTGCATGGGATGAAGATGAGGAGAGATAATTGCAAGATCTCTCGCGCTCTTTCCGCGGAGTAGGCTCGTAATCGGCGAAAATGTGAATTTATTAACCTATGCTAGATTGACCGGGAGCAGATACAGGACTATACAATGAGAAAAGATCCAGAACACAGAAGCATTTACTAAAATCCAGGAATATGCAGATTATTGTGACATCCGAATGATGACAACGAGAACGAGAACTATGGCTGTGGCCGTGTGCCTGTTTACGATGAATGACTAGAAATGCACCAACAGAAACGTCAACAGCGAAATACGTGTGTTTGCTTGTTGAAACGACACGGCTAGTCCTAGAACCCGAGCACGGAAAGGTGAGACGACAGTGAGGCACTGATGACCAAGTTGAGCGGGATGTGGAAGCTTGATCCATAGAGTGAAAAGGCCGAGACTGGAGCGTGAATGACTCGGTGGAAATTGAGTGAAGCATTAAGAAACGACTTGATAGTGATGTTGGATATGGTGGCATGCCGCGACAATGAGGTGTCAGCATCCATGTATGAAAGATTGATCCGCAGACGAGGTAGGAACTTGAAGAAACTTTAGGAAACAGCTTGGCAACGATGGCATTGACGATGAAGAACATTGATGAGATGAACGACGATTCAATGCTTCCTGGAAAGACGCTTGAATGCTGAACCGTAGGGTTCACATAATGACACGGATCGTTAATTGAATGTCGATGAACGTAGGAGGCATGCAGCCCGATGTTGATGCGGTGCTCAGTCAGAGGTATCCGCTTTCATGGTCATCGAGTCCAGGAAATGCTTCCAGAATGCCAAAGGTGAGTAATTCCGCTGCAAACAATTCATTAATATTGGAGAGGTTGCAGCACGCGACTGCGAAGCTTACACGAACTGATATCCCCGCTGAGGCAGGCACCACTCAGCCCATCGTCTTCGCGATTCCCTTCATCTCCGTCTTGATCATGATCTTCACGCACGACTTCATCTTGATGTTCCTCTTGCTCTTCACCTTTGGCCTGGTTTTCACTCTCGTCTTCTTCGTCTTCGTGTCTTACGTCATCCGCAGTCTCAGCACTGCGTTCATTTTCAGCGAAACTCGGTCCGACAACGGCATCAGTGATTAGCTTTTCGCTGTTCTCAACCACGTCGGATGCAAACGTCGTTAGGCAGACGTTGCCGCTGTCGTCTGTCATCATGGAGCCCGTAAGACACTAAAGAAATGTCGAATATCAGCAAGGGTAGCTCGCACCATGCAGTTCAGGTCCGGCGTTCTCTGAACACTCCCCAGTCGAAGCGTTGCTTCCCCCGATTTCCTTCTTGTGCGGTACGCGTGTAATCTCATTGCCTTCGTCGTCATAATCTTTAGCTGAATCCTTTGACAGCTTCTCTGCACCATACTCTCCGGAGACTATAGAGTAAGGTATGAGCTCCACCAACATGAAGAGTGGTGCATGTCACTTACCCACTGTTTTCCCTCTAGCGTCACCATCTTCAGTTTGCTGTTCGGACGCCGGAAGCTCCGTCTGGACATGCTTGGCAGCGAAGAGCTCAGTCTTTTGAGCCTTGACCCAGTCTGAAGTACAAGGTTTAAAGCAGCTTCCTGTAAACCGTCGAAAAGACTCACCGAAGAACTCGAACAAAATCGGAGATCGCGGATTGACCAAAGATAGCTCTACCAGCTTCCCGCAGGCTTCGGCTATGGCAAAGCGATCAACGCATGGTAACGTATGGTCCGCATCATCGATTTCGTACCGTCCTGGTGCGCCTGCGCTCATGAGAGAAGTATCGCATGCGTTAAAGATCATGAAAGGATTACCTGAGCCGGACGCAACCTTGTCCCCACCTGGTGTAACGCATGTATGCTATTAGCTGCCGACGTTATGAAACCATAAGGTATGAAGGCTAACCAGTGATGTCCACAAATGTCTGCCTAGAAATGGAAGACCCGCCAACCATGCCATTGTCGTCGCCAGATATCACTTGCGGAAGAATACCTCCATCTCCTTGCTGACAGTCTGCGGCATTGACTGGTGGCGGGGGGCTGTTATCGCTTGGAGGATCGGGGGGATATGACAACATCAGGTCTAATAAGTCACCATGGTATTGACTCAGCAAGGGATGTGCTGCTGATTTCGGAATCGTTTCTCCGCCAAAATGCACCTGAGACTGCTCTGTGTAATGGAATCGACATCGTTAGCATAAGTCGATGGTGTCTCAAATGAACCTTTGAACTGACCGGCTTGGACAGTCGCGTGAAGAGCGCACTCTTCCGCTGCACCCTGTGACGGGACAGAGATTTGAGGAGAGACAACGGCGCTCTGTCCTCCCAGCGTTTGTGGAGACGAATGCGTAATTGTATTTGACTGAATTTCGGGGCTTCGGGCCAAATGTGCATTATTGACGGGGACGGCCTTCCCTTTACCCTTGTCATTCCAAGCAATCCGTTCTTCCGACGCTACCGACGAAGTTTCATCAAGCTGTGCAAGTCCTGCGAGCAAAAAGCCCTCATCGTGATATCCAGCTTGATGCTCTGTATGAGTCGTAAAAAAGGGATTTCCTGCTTCATGGAATACAGCGCCTGGTGCGTTGTTCGATGCCTGTGCCACTGTAAAAGCTTGATTCAGCACGATAGGTTCATCAGCGACGCCACACTGTTCCTAACTTACATTGCAGATGCCACTGGGAAACGGAAGTATTGTAGGACAGGGCGTCCAGTTCGGAAGTGGCAACATTCGCGACGCCTAGCTCCAAAGGTGGGGTGATGGCAGATGATGTGGATGCCTCACTTGTGGAAACTGAAAGAGGTGGCGTTATAAACCCCGACGCCTCCGCGTAATATCCATATTGTCCTTCCGGCACGTCAATCCATTGTGAAAACTCGTCCGCAGACGGATCCGCAGCCTGCAGTTCTGTTCGGCAGTGTTTGACAGGGCTAGGAGGCTCAGTATTAGCCCGCGCTCTCTTACGGAGACCAGGAATACTAGGCTCCGCATAGTCGGGGTATTCAACAGGCAGCATAGACGCGCGCTGGCGTGGGTACAAACTGGGAAGTGCAATTTGCCACTGGGGAGAGTGTTGATGGTGGCCTGTTGGATGGACATAGCGTTGCAGAGAAACAGCTCGAGGATGGACTGGGCGAGCGGTATGCGGTACTATCGGATATGCGAGATATCCCCGAGCCAGGGAAGCAGCGTTCGCGAGATTGCTCGTAGCGGGGAGTGATCTTGATGTCCCTGATACACTAGTTGAGCCGCTGGCGCCTACGATGGAAGCTTCGAGCCCCGGAGGCGCGACGCCACTCGTCGATGTGGCTGTGGCAATGTCCGAGAGACAAGTCGAGGTGCATGAAAAGCACATGATGAACGCTCCATTCAACAAGCCAGAAATAAAGACTCACAGGCCCGCGGGGCTGACCTAAATCCAGTCAACAAACACGGTGGAAGAGTTGAATCCCAGTGTTTCCATTCTTGCGGGTTGTCCGTTCGACCCCCTTGGAGGCACTGGAAAGGCTAATTATTGGACCAAATCAATAGCTGCATACTCAAGAGGACATACCTGCGTAAAGGCCTGACGTTCACCTTGAGAGACCCTACCGAGACAGACAAACGATAGATTAATATTTTTCTATGGACTAGTTAGTCAAGAATCGATATTAGAACGAGACTGGCTATGCGGACCTTCTTGAAATCATTTTTCATATCTCGTGGAACCCGGAACCCCTGCGAGAAATACTGTTTCGCCCGCCAAATCACCAGGTTTTTAACAACCACTTCTTGTTCTTCTACTCCCCAGACATCCTTGACTTTCGAAAATTTCTGATACGTCCAATCTTGTGAGCTCTGGTAAGCATTTTTAAAAAGTAATAGACCGACCGAGAAGACTCCGCGTATTTTCGAACCAAGGACTCTTGCATGCGACACAGCCTCTTCCGTTTCGTCATACTCCTTCACAATGACCTATATAGTGTCGATTACCGACGCAGAACTGTGTGAGTGGGAAACTGATAAAACAGACCTTATATTCCGAGCTGATCAGTTGAGCTTTCATTTCCTCCATCAATTCCCTATAACCCGGCAGCTTGAGAAGCACGTCGTTCCTGGCATTGGCGTGAATGTAATGGAGGACTAGGGCCACTGGTCTCCTTTGTTCGGCGACAGGTTGGGCCATTGAGACTTTGAACAACTAGCGATAGCAGGTGAGGAAAGTAGCTCCGCGCGTGCGAGGCCAGCTGTAAGAGGGTGTGGTAGAGATGCGAAAGCCGCGGTTGCAATGTGGCCGACCTTTATACCAACAGCAGGTGCACACATTGCCACTCTCGCGTCACGGGCTTGGACCGACCACACCCACCCTCTTCCTTCGCGTACGAAGAGACCTTGCCACTATCCAATGCACGACTGCACGACTGCAGCTCTTACCTCTCTGCAACTTCTACTTCTTTGCAAGTCCTGCCTGCTCTGCTTGGCAAGATGGTTCAACGCCATCCAATTTGAAGCGCTCGGCCCTCTCGAGGCCCAAATGCGGATTTGAACGTCGCTCGGACGTCCAGCAAATTCCTCTACGTTACCGAAAGAGAGACATAGAGCAACTTGACAGACAAATCTCGCTCGTGAGTCGTTCTCGACATGCCCAACTTGTCGGCATCCCGGACGCCTCGACCTTGCGACACATACTCTCGTCACAAAGCGCGTCAAACGCGCTCGAGTATTCTTCAAATCTACACAAACCACCTTTTTGGGTGCCAAACGTGCAGTGAAAGGAAATTCGAGAGCATTTGACGCGAGGCCGCGCGAGTTTGACTCGAGAGCAATGCGAACCTTCTGAAGTGGCAACCTACATTTTTCTTCACCATAGGACGCGGAACATCGAAAAATGACGTTTTGTGTCAGATCACATTCTGAACTGTCGCATAGCATCAGTAACTGAAGTCACCGGTACACGTCGAGAGGATTACATTCTCCGGGGTGGACTAGCGCAGGCCGCAAAGTGCTTGCCATACAGCAGCTTGAAATCGCAGTATGCATCCGTGTCGGAGCATTCGTCGCCTTCCGACAGACAAGCTCGATTGAGGTTTGAGGTGGACCATGCCATGTGAGTTCTGGAACTGGATGTTGCAAACACGATATTAACGCGAGATCCTGTGCGTTGGTAGACAGCACCTACCACTCCTGATGAATGGATAGGCTGGCTGATTCACAACATGTTCACACGACCTTCTAGCCTTTGATAACCAACGAGCTGATAGGTGGCCGTTAACCTGCGATCTACGTGCGTCAGTCCGAACATTGTCAGTCAAGTGCATCCCACGGCTTGACGAACAAACGAACTAACTGGCACAATTATTCTAGTCGCTCTATAGTGATTTGCCGCCTTTTGGATTTCATGGGGAAGAAGAGTCCCGTATCTCGCGGGGGATAACGTCGACATCACTCCGCGATTCATGCGCATAGACTCTGATGCCGCAACCCAAGCGCATTCTATCACTTGACGAACCTCCATAGCAGTCATTTCCACGGTACGCAGTCTTCAGTTGCTTTATGAAAATGGTCTCCTCTCGTCTCGCGAGGGTTGTTTAGGTCAATCTTCACATTCCAGAAAACCATCTGTGTCCGATTGGGATTCAAGGTTTCACTGCATATGTCATTCACCAAAGCATCCTAGAGCGGCTCCTACAGCGTCGAAGACATTGAAGTTTAGATAGAAGAGGGATTAGCGATGCAGAGATGGCAGTCCGATGGCCACAACATAGCAGACATGGTGCGATTTTATCAACGTGGAAAATTGTGTGTAAATGTGGACTGATTTCTTACGCATGCGACAACCAACGGCATTTCATGCCAAAAAGGGTTTCACTTTGGCTGTGAAAGTAACACTATTTGCCATATTGGCAAACCTTTGCTACAAATGTAAGACATCAGCCAACATTCCCACACTATTTCTCACAAGTGATAAATCTGCCGTGCAAAGTTATGGCAGACGTGCTCGGACCAATCGACATCACATGATAATCGCTCATGAATTCTTCTCTCAACGCTGAGCGCTGATGTTTTGCCCATCATCTATGCTTTTCTGTGCTTTTTGGACGTGCGCTATTATATGCATTGGGTTCCTGGAATATATCTTTGGCACGCTTCAAAGTCATACCGAAATGCAGTCAGTTGCTGGAGTCGTACCGATCATATTGCTACTACTCAAAATTCTCAAGAGGAACACCCTTCGCAACGAACTGGCGACATTATCTTACCGGATTCAGCGAACAGAGTGGCTTGAAAGACTGGAACAGCCGCATTCGAGGTCGGGCCGACATCGAGCGACATGTACAACGGCTGTAGACTCTGATGCGGTGACGGCGGGAAGACTCAGAACAGACTACTTGATGACAACGAAAGAGCGAGAAACCGAACTACACGATGACTATGTCGAAGGTGGTGACGCCGGAGTCTGCGATAATGACTCGGTAGCTAGACTACTCATTCTGAGGTGGCTGCTGATGGACTAGCGAAAACGACTCTTGCACGACAATGAAGATACGGATCGCGGAATCCGCCTCTATTCTCGCCAATACTGGGATGTGTATAGAACTACCAGAGCTGGAGTTCGTGGTATCTTTCAGTAGGAGAGAAGCTCGCGAAGGAGAATATGCTTTGGTACGTCTCCCTCATGCTGATTGAAAACAACTGGGGTACGATTGTCGTTCTTCTCCCAGTCTAACTTAGCCCCTTACCCTACAGCGTAGCTGCGACGTTATTCTCCTCAAAAGCAAACGGCTCAAAGGTCTGCAGCGATGTATGTCTGTTCCTGATCCAAACACGACTTAGCGGCGTGGAGTGTATGTCGAACACCTACTGGCCTCGTCTTGTATGCATGCCTTTGGCATGCCCTGCCTGATTTGCAAGTGACCATGCTTCCGTGGCTAAGCAATCGATTTGGCTGCCAATCAGAATGTCAATTTTCCTCCAGACGTCCACATCTAACGCTCGAGCTGCTCATATCAACGTTGCGGAGTGGGAATGTGGTCAGGGCGCTGCTGCTGGTGGTGATGAGATCATGAATGCACGTACAAGGTGTTCCCCGTTTTATGACGCGTCTGGCAAGAGATAGAATTGCTTGTCCTGTAACGACTGCGATAAGCGCTGAAATGCTACGGCGGGAGAAAGCCGCTCAATCTTACGACTCGGGGAGTCCATGATGCGCTGCGAATTCAAGACACCAGCATGGTATCCTACCGTCAGTGCGGTCCTGTCTCATGCCGTATCTGTTAGAATTATGCTCATGTGCTGTATCGTTCGCATGCTAAGTCGCTTCGGCCAATCCAGTGTGCTGGCCTCCTTTCTATGCCAAGTGCAAATTGCCGCTCGGAGCATTTCAGGCAAATGGCTGTTCTGGCCCATCACTTAGTATCCTGGTGCGTGTTCACGCTCAGAATTTTGTCCATGTATAGAGTGAATGGGAAGATCCTGGTGCGTTGAACAGACTCGTGCCAGTATTTCGTGTCGCAGCCTACATGTGGAGCTGCACATGTGAGGACGTTTGGGTCGTTTAGGTTTCTTATGAGACAACTGCGCAGTTTGCGATCGAGCAAGGTGTTTATTCACGAAATGCTGTGTCGTTTCTGCTCTGATATCTCGATTCCGACGCTCAGCTAACTCTCACGGCACCGCATCGTAAGCGTGCGTGGATAAAGGACAGGTTCTCTGTGCAAGAGCGCGGGATCAATGCGAGCCCGACATCATTCGGTGATACCCTGCCTTAGAGAACTGCGGCTACATCTGGTCCGCCTATGCAGTGTTCTCAAGTCTTATCGCCAGCACGACTCTATTACATGCTGATTTCCATCACCTGTCAAGTCTAGATGGCCTTCCCTGCGTTGTGTTGTTCCCATGTCAGATTCTCAACCAATCTGAATGGCCAAGCGTGCGCCGGAGACTTCTCAGGAGTCTTGGCTCACCTTTCTTTTCGGTCCCGATGGTCCATTTTGCGGAACACTAGCCAACTGGTGATTTTTCAAACGACCATCGCTGACATAAAATATCCTAAATAAACGTGCATCTTGCTCCGGAAAAGGCGCCGCGCGGGATACTTCATGGCGAACGGCTGTCCTGGTGCCTGTCTGTGCAGCTTTCAACATACGGCTTGTGAACACGCCGATCAAGAATCCATGACAGATTCCATGCAAGGGCCATTGAATGCGCGAACACGGCCTTACGAGCCTATGAGCTCAAGGTTCATCTAACTCGACTGGAAGGAGGCCGTGAACGCTTCTTATTACAAGTCATGCACAACGCAAACTACTGTGCTTCGCCCCCCATACCGACCCTTTTCCTTCACCTCTGGAGAGAACCATGACATATCCGATTGCTGAGGCACAACTCGTGGCGTTGTTCATGCAAAGCGTCACTTATGGCATTCACGTTGTAACATTCTCACTGTGCATGTATACATGGTACCGCCGGACGGGCCATTCAGGAGCGCCAAGATGTGGGCCGTGGATGGTCGTTCCGGTGGCTTTGTTCGTGCTCGGCACCGTCGACGTCTCCTTTAATCTTTACCACAACCTCATTGCGTTCATTTTCTACACGGGACCCGGAGGTGCGGAGGCGGAATTCAAGCAACTCTCGAACTGGGTAAACGCAATAAGGGTGAGTAGCCATTCCGAGATCATCGAGGTTGATGTTCATCAATTGTTTGCAGAGCGTCTGGTACGTTGTCAGTGCCAGCGTCTCCGATGCGGCTTTGGTAAGCTACTAGTGGCGAAGCTGGTCCGCAACGAATGGTACTTACTGACGTCATATTAGATATGTCGCTGTTGGATCATTTATCGGGGACAGAGGATGCAGCGGATGGTGGTGACCGTGCTTATAGTGCTGTGGGTTGGGATGGCCGTGTCGGAAGTGATTGAGTTGTACTACCTGTTCACCTTGAAGGCACCGAGCTCCATTCCTGACGCGCGGAAAATTCAACCCTACTTGGATGCTTTCTTCTGTACGTCGCTTAGCATAAACATTCTATCCACCGGTGCGTCTGTTTCAGTTTATCCTGAAGATAAGGCTCTTGTTCACCTTATAACAATTGTAAACCATTTGCAGGGATGATTGTGTGGCGAATCTGGAGAATCCAACGACAAAAAGCGAAGGCTTTCGCGCAGAGTTTTGGAAGCTCTGGTGGATTGGATCTACTCAACATCATCCGGATCTTCCTCGAATCTGCACTCTTGTATACGCTGTGCGTCGCACTGACGTTTATTGCGAACTTTGCTGGAAGCAACATCAGCTACGGTTTCTCTGACATTGTGAGTCTTACTCTCGCTCCAATGTCCCGATGTCACTATAATTGCTTTGTCTTCCAGAGTGTCGAGATAGCCGGAGTCTCTTTTGATCTCATAATTATTCGGATCTGGAAAGGGGTTGCCACTGAGCAAACAGACCAGTTTGCTAGCTCGTTAAATTGGGAGGCTAGCCGTGGTGGGGCTACTGTCGATTCGACCGATCCTGCGACGACGGGATCTTCAACTTTTACAGAGCTGAATGAGCTCACTTCACATAGCCGCAAAAATGCAGTCCACTTTGGAAGCGGTGATAGCTTGTCTGATCGATTGGAGGATCAGAAGGCGGTGAGTTTTGATCTTCACATCCTGTCATCACTTTCCGTCACTTACTGCATACACCCAGCTTCCGAAGGTGGCTCACATCTGATCAACGTCGTCTTTTCTCATGAAATCATAACGAAGTCTATTTGACTCTGAATCGTCCTACATGTGACCTTCGAAGCTTCTGTGGGCAGTGCAGGAATCCATTCTGAAGTTTGGACGACATCATTTATTTGCGTCAGTACCAGTAGTGATAGCACGATGCGTATGTACCTATATGCAATCAGCCTTGACAACGTGCCTTCTATGCTTCTGTCTCTACAGTTATCCAAGGTTACGTGTATGATCGGATTCAAAGATATGCCCAGGACCATTGTATCGTTGTATACAAGAGACCAATGCCTAGAAGTCCTACTCCCGCACAAACAGTGGCCATCTCGACAAGCACTTCCCTCCACTGCTTTACCAATGCTGCTGCGCCTGCCGGGTCAGGCTTCACGCTCTCCGCCTCCTTCACGCCTGGTGCCAAATCACCGCCTTCGCCAGCATCAGTGACATTACTAGCTCCAGCAATGGCGATGGCAGTGCGTGGTCGAAACGAGGCGCGTCGCATGCCGAGGCTCCAGCGGACGCTGCGCGCGATACCTTCTTTGAGCGCCGCCCTTCGTTTCAGAATCCATCCCTTGCGCGGATACCACCGTGCGAACCAGTGTGGCACACGCTGCAGCAGAAGCAAAGCATGCATACGAATTCGCATGCGCAGACTTGGAGCCCCAAGGCCAAGCCGGGCTGCGAGCGATGGGCCCAACAGGTACCATGTGAGTGCGCAATTGTACTCAAAGGAGGTGTACGTCGGCGGTCGGTCTGAGGCTGCACGTAGGATTGGAATCGTAGGCGCGTCTGCAGCATCTGAGCCATCGTCCGAGAATAGATGCAGTGCGGTCGTAGCGACGAACTTGTCCGCTGTTGCTGAGTTGGAGAAATAGCGTAGGAGGATGGACGGTGAGACGCCCAAGTAGAATCCGACGTGCCGCCAGAGTGCGAGATATGCATTTGCATGTGCGTCAGATGGAGGAACATGCAGGCGACGGAGGCACCACATCGGAATTGTCGAGAATGCGGCAAGTCTGTCGGTTCATTTGAGATAGCAAGTGATATTATATCAGTGTTTATTCGTTAAGATGTGTAGTGCGCATAACTGACGTGCCACCCAATTCTTCTTGATTAATCGGAACGCGGTCATCGTAAATGCTTTGCTTCCTCCATCGCTCTTTGACTCGCATTCGTGCAATTCCATGTAGTAGTCGGACGTTTACTGTGGAACGCCATCCAAGCCCACCTGGTAATAAATATGCCGCAGCAGTGCCATCTTGGACGCATTGAGAATTTGCAGTATTCTCGGAAGGATCAATTGCGCCCTGATCGTCGACTGGAGGCGATGCTGAACAGGCCAATACATCTAGCACAAATTGGAAGGTTTCAAGTAACCGCGAGAACGTGCGCTCGTTGGAGGCCGATGTAATGCGAGACGACCTCTGAAGAGATGACAACGAATTGTCTAGCTCTTTAGCTTGATCGTTCGCGTGCTTGCTGGAGTGAGGGACGAGATACGAAACTGCTTGGAGCGTGCGTACAATTCGCGGGCTGCCAAAGAGAATGGTTCGTCAGTGTGGAGTGAGAACCTGCTTGATAACCTGATCAAGTGCGCATGCACACTGCATAGTTACATCCGTGATGCTGACCTGGCGAAACCTCCTGCCAGACTGTAGTGCAAAAGCGCTTGAACAATCTCGATACTGTTGTCCAAGAATAGTTGCTGGGCAAGTCGCACGTCTCGCTCGTTCACTCTCACGGCGGGCGGCGGCACTTGACGCACTTCCTCAAGAAAACGATGCACCGGCTCATCTTCCGGATTCTCAGCAGTGAAGCGTTCGAGGGTAGCAAGCAGGTCTTTCCCTACGCTGGAAGATGAAGTCAGGAAAACCGTTTCCAGGGCATCATCGCAAAGAGGATCGCCCAGATTTCGCCAGCTAAAATGACAGAGCAGTCAATACAAAGCCAGCGAAGTCAAATGCGATACTAAACGAACTTCCTGGAGAGATCTTCCCCAACACAATCATCGTCCCATGTCAGGACGTAGTCGAATATCTTCACCACCTCCCCGCTACTCAGCGTGCGTGTATCGCCGGAATGGTTGATGTGTTTTCCTTCCCACGTAGCAACTTTACCGATTGAAATGGACATCGCAGACCAACAAAGCCTTGCTGGACTGAACTGACCACCCTGATCTTGTTCATCACAGTTGGAACTCGATTAGGTCCGGCTCGTCCGATTGTCGCCGGCTGCGCACCTTACTGCTGCAAAACGCTACGGTGTTATCAAGAGATTGGACACTACAATATAATCGTGAGTTCTCCGACCGCTAGTTTCCGAAAAAAGAGGCCTGGAGAGGGGCGGGATTGAGATGGATGGCCAAGAATTCGGAATTGCCAAGCAGATTTACCGTGAACGTTGGAAACACCAGGCAGTTCCTCCAGTGCATGCGTCGCAGCACTGAAACAAGACGCGCAGGCCATCCCCCCGTCGTCGCGCGTCGTCACTGACGTTACTCAGCCTGATAAGCCGGCGTCTGGCAACGCACTCCTGTCAACGGTAGCCGCCTTGCATCAGCCCATGATCATTGTACGATGCACAGAGCTTTTACGACTGCAATGTAACACTCGGTTCTCCTATAGCGACAGCATTGGAGTCGAAAGAATAAAGAGACAAAAATATGGTTCAGTCCGGGTTCGAACCGGAGACCTCCTGTGAACACAACGATGTGAGACAGACGTGATAACCAACTACACCACTGAACCAACATTATTGTTGAGCAATAGTTTTATATCATGAGCATTCATACTCGCAAGTTGGTAACGATCACTTGGGGAGACGTTCCAAACTTCCAACACTGTATAGTCGTGCCCTGTGCGACCGAAAGCTGGATTACGATGCTGTTGCGGCCACATCAACATGTACATTAACCCATCACGATCGGAAGCTCTACAACCTCGTGCGAACAGCAGGCTAGCAGGCTGCGGGAGGCATACTATATACGGCGGTCCGAAGTGACTCCAGCAACCTACTTCATGTCATCTTGGCGATGGTGTGGCCGATCATGATGCTGGCCATGAGTCTCGCGGCAAAGGCAACCCATCACGGCTTTTGCGGCCTGATCCAATGGCTTAGCGACTTCTCGTAAGGAGCCACCGTCTGATAGAAGATCTAAATGAACTCCAGAATATTATAACACGGACTACCACGTATAACTACCACGGTTTCTTTTTCATTGTCCGAGAGGATTGGCCAAATGTTAGCTGGCTCCTGACTCCTCACGTGTCCATCTTCAATTCACCCTGAACCTGGCAAACTGTCATACCATGAGTAAGCATGGACAGCCGTACAGTCAAACAACAACATCGTACCAAAGATGTGGAGACTTCCATATGGCGTTATGATCAAAGTGCAGTATCTGGAATTTTACCTGCTCATCTTAGCAGTGATATCGTTCATGAACCCAACGACGCAAATGTCAGAACAGCAACTGGCCGCAGTGCTTATGCTGACGCTGCATGATTGTCGGATCTCGCCCGGTCAGTACCATTAGTGTAATCCCACCGTCAAAGCAGACGTAAACATCTGTCAAGTTCTTGCATGACTCAGGATTTCATGAAGAATGGGCCGCTGCGTACGGCAAAGCACTGATCGTGGATTAAACGAAAGCTGATCCGGCGGCGCCAAGGCAACTAGTCTGTACCTACCTGCATGAATGCGAACACCCGAAGTCCAAGTGAGCCTCGTGGAGACCACGATGCTAAGACATGTTACGTGCGCAAAAGGCCCAGACACGTCTCATCAAGATCGATGATGCTTTCCGACATGCCGTTTAACTTCCTGACGTGATGGAAATCCATGCGAGCGAATGCCACAACTATCCTTCCGATGGAGAGAACCCGCGCTAAATTGAAAGATGGTGCTTGCGATCCAGACTTTGCTCAAATCTGGAGTTAAAAATAGCTTTTCTCAGAATCTTGAAGGCTGACGACTGTAGAGGCGGAAGATTGCTACGACTCCTACGGGGATCTCGGTGTAAAGTTTCTAAAATGAATGTTAATCTGTTGACAGGTTCAACTGCGAAGTCTTCTGGAGACGATACATCACGTACCAGCATGCGATGAATCAACAATAACGTCAGTGATTCGCACTGGCGCGTCCGACGATGAGTGAGCGCACTGATAATAATACTTGTACTACGAGGCTCCACGCGGATGGAGCTGCTATATATATGTAGATGACAGCGAGATCCCACTTCAAGCAGGAACTTGAACTTAAAGCATGAGGAGCGGGCCGGTCCGGGCGCGGCGCACCATGGTTGTGGCGGCGGGACGGGCGCTTTCAAAAAGGAAAGCAGGACTCGGGATCTTTCCGAGTTGAACATTTAGACTGCTTGCATCGATATCTCACGCAACGATATTAGTTCAAGCCGTACAGAGAAACTACTGATTCTTGGTTTGTACTTATACTCAAGACATTTCCTACTGTGGCCTCCTAGCAACCCTGAGCGAATTCGAAGACCGTTGAAGTTCAAAAACGTGCTTTACGAGGTGACTAGTATCGACACCGCTGATCAAACGTTGCATGATGCACGAAGCTTGCGGACTGTACTCTGTTATGCCCGGCCTAGATCCTGTCAGCCCGTACTAGTGCCGAGCTAGTCTTCCTATCGGGATTTGCGGCGCAGCCATGAAGCAACACCTTGGAGGCATTGGCCAATCTCTAGCATCTGCTCGGGTTGTCAGGACTTGACCAGAAATCGATACTGTCGCTGATGCTTGCTCGTGGCGTAGGAGAATGTCAAGATCGATTTCGTGCTCTGCATCTACCCTAACGCCACTATAAGGATCATTCCACTAGCAAACGCCGACTTTCTGCGCTCGCTTGCCTTTATTAGGAGACAGCGCTGTTACTTCATCCTTCTATTACGTTCAAGGGTTCTATGATATGCTGAAGCAATGCAGACAGCCTTTTTTTGACAAGCGAGTGTACCTGCGGGCAAGAAAAGAACCATTTCCTACGGTGCGTGTCTTTCTTAGGCACACGTTCCCTCCGGTGCTGATTCGCAGAACCTGTTCAGCGGTATACAGCTCGGAAACTTGCTTCCTGCCACATTAAAGGTTGTGCAGCGACTGGGTCGACCCATTAGAATTTGATTACTGTACTGAAGTTACAAGCGCTTGTCTGCAAGTCTGGTCATAACTTAAACCACCCTCGGTCCCAACCTCTCACTAGCTCACGAAGATAACATATCTCAAGCGGTTATTCTCCATCGCATCTGTCATCGTCCCACGTCCTACTACAGAGCTCCACCCTCTGAGTTATCTGTGCCTCACGTTCGCCGGCGTATCAACGTGCACGTCTACCGGCTTCGGCGTATGGAGCTCCCTTAGAAGCATGATCTAGTATGCAACCCACATGATCAATCAGAACCAGTAACAGGTTCCTCGAACATCGTCCTGTCGACACGAGCGCATTGGAGCCACTTCGAGGTCCTATGTCAGGTTCATCATGTCCGGACCTTCTTCCCATCGAATGATCTATCCCCATTGTGAATATAATGCGACGAAGGCCATCCTACCTGTGGAACCGTCAGTTCAGGAGATGAAATTTGCGTTGCTACCGTTATGAGGTGCTGTATAGAGTGGGAGTCACGCACCAGGACGACAAGGGTGACACTCCAAGTGTTCTTTCCCCGGATACATTGCATCTCTGTCGTCAAAGTTTACGTGATGGTGCTAGCGTAGGAATCTTTCGCGCTCCCCATGATCGTTGATCTCAAAATTGTCGGAGATCATCGGTGTCTAGTATTCCTCTATAAAGGAGGGACGTGAGAGGGAGGAGCGATAGCTGATATCGAGGTACTACTCACTGGCCAGCTGCTCTACTCCTTATCTACATTTGCTATGGTTCTCTCACTTTTGCGCAAAGTTCATTATACTGGTGCAGCAGGACTCGATGCTCCAGTTGCAGAGACTGGCCCAATACTGGTTAACCCTAGCTCCTGGATCACTTCAGTTGGTAGGCACGACCATCTTATAGTGTCCCTGCACTCACGTCCATGTCATGCAGCACGAACTTCGGTGCTAAACGTTGTCAACAATGCCATAACAACTGGACAATTGGAAATCGACGATGAAGGCACTGTCCACGCCTTTGGGACCTGCCCGAGCGGCGAGAAGCCTGTTCGCATAACGGTCCGCGACGATTATTTCTGGGTCCGTGTCTTCATGTGAGACAAAGGTTTATCAGCGAATGCGTGACCTCGCTGACGACTGAGCATTGTAGTTCAGGCTCCCTCGGCTGTGAGTCCCATCATTCATCTGTGCATTTTCCCAGCAGGAGATGGTCTAACTCGAAATATCCAGTCAGTGAGGCATACATGCTTGGCGAAGTGGAAGCGGATCAGTTACAAGCCACAATCGAGGTAAAAGCTTGATCGCAACATAACACGCGGATTACAGCGTGCTCATATGGGTCTATCTCATGATAGCTTTTTATTGCGAATCAATCCGGCCTGTCGGAGGTGTCATCCATCTACAGTCGGCTGACCGCTGCTATCTCAAGTTTCTCCAATGCTCTCATAGGACAAACGCGGTTCAGAGCTCGGCTAAACGCCATAGCCAGTTACGACCAGTCCAATGACTTATTCCAGGTATGTTATTAGTTGTATCACAGTGCTTGCCGCTCATGTTGAATTGCCATACAGGCATTTCTGAGCTCGGAGATGATGTACTCCTGTGCATTGTGGGGTCATGAGGAATGCGGTGCGGACGGAGACCTAACGCTCGGACGCACGTCCGACGACCTCGAGGCAGCGCAACGTCGGAAAATTCATCACATTTTGCAGCTAGCGCGTGTGAAGCCTGGACACAGAATTCTGGAGTTTGGGACCGGATGGGGGGCGCTCGCTATTGAGGTCCATTCATTCTTCATCAACGGTCCACCTGACTAACCACGCCACACTCACACAGGCTGCCCGTACATACGGCTGCGTGGTTGATACTCTCACGCTGTCAAAGGAACAGAAGTCACTGGCAGATGAGCGCATCAAGCAGGCCGGTGTTCAGGATCGTGTCCGCGTCCATCTCCTGGACTACCGTGACATCCCATCGGTGTTTCAGCATGCCTTTGACGCATTTATCAGTATAGAGATGCTTGAGCACGTCGGGTCCAAGGCAAGTCTCGTCAGCATGCTTTGCTCGATCAGAAACACTGATGTTATTCCGCATGCAGTACTACAGCACATTTTTCGAACTAGTAGACTTTGCTCTCAAGCCGAAAAATGCTATGGTTGTAGTTAGCTCTAGTACATTCCCCGAATCACGCTATAGCGATTACCAGTAGGTTTCACTTTAGGTTTCCTGTCTGCGTTTGACAGAACGCAACGGACAGGGCGGAAGACTTTATGAGAAGATACATGTGGCCTAACTCATGCCTTCCTAGCCCCACCGCGCTCATCAACGCAGCGAACACAAGCTCTAAAGGTCGTCTTGTCCTTGACACCGTCGAGAATATCTCTGCGCGTGAGTGATTCTCCGTTCATATACGCCGCCGCACTTGTTGACTGTAACGGCGATCAGACTACCCTCGGACTCTGAGAAGCTGGGATCGCCGTTTGAAAGCTAATCTGCGCCAAGACATTATCGCACGAGCCTATCCTGCGTTGCAGGATCCGATTGCGTTTGGTGTCTTCCTCAGGAAATGGGAGTACCTATTCTCCTACGCAGGGGCCGGCTTCTCAAAGGGGCACATCACTTGTCACGTTCTGACGTTCCTGAGAGGTAAGATCCACGTTCGGAAGTTAATATAATACAAATTCTGACATCAATTGCGAGTAGGCTAATGCGAGAGGTCGTGGATAAGCGTCATCCGGATACCGTACTGTAACAATCCAGAATGCTGATGTACATATTTAGACTGTATCTAAGTGGCTTTGAAGGAGAACGAGAGCGAATGCATGTAGTATTTTGTAGCCAAATGCTAATCTTTGAATGTGAATATTTACTCGATAGTGCAGTGATATCGCTCCAAAGCTGTGTAACCAAATTGATCAAACCAGAACTCTCATGCATAACATGTCCATCGTCCTTCCTGTAGGAACCATACCTGCCCCTTCGGCAGAATTATCGTCTTCAAGGTCGGGCACGACTTGTGCCAGTACGTCGCGACGCCGTGCTCGTCTTCAAGAGAGGTCGTCTGCCCTGCCATGAATGTGATATATTGTAGCTTGTGGAAATTCGATAATGAGTTGCCCGCTTTCAAGAGCATTTTCTATGGTGAGCGTAAAAGGTCAATTTCGGTATCAATCTGTCTTCCTACTGACCACGTACTTCATCATAGTTTCCAAGAAGCACGACGATGTATAAAGCTTCAAGCTGAGGGAGGCGACAGGCCACAGCAGCAAGCATGTCGTCCGGTTTGATGTCCTCAAATGACATGAGGGTGAGCCGCTTGATGTGACCGCTGGCCAGTGTGAGCGTATCGAGCGGAGCAAATCCATCACCCTGATAAAGTGAGATCGAGACTACCTCGAGAGGTCTGCCCTTGATGACTGTAGACAGCTCAGGGATGCCGGCATGGACGGTCCGGAACGATATGAGGTGCGGCAGAGCTGAGGAAGAGAGAATAAATGGAGAGTTGGTCTGGAATCCGCGCAGGGATAGCTCTCGGATGGACGGCTGCGTCTCCAAGAAGCGTGCGAGGCCTTCATCGCATCGCGCAGATGTGGAAAGCGTCTGCAGCTGGAAGTTGGCACCGGAGAACACCCAGGCCTGAGCGGACTGGTTGTCGTAGGGAGAGAGCTCGATTGAGAGGTGGCGGAGGAATCTAAGCTGCTTCAATGCTCGGTTCAGTAACCGAAGAAGGTTTCCGAGGACCCGATGCATCGACCAGTCTACCACTAGTGTGCGCACCAGCTCGGCCTTTGAAGCGTCAGTTGCGAGAGTGTTAAGACAGGCGATCATGCGGCGCACCGGCCGCATATTCGGTATGGAGCGGTAGAGAGCTGGGAAGGCGATGGGATGGAAGAGTTTAGACACACGGAGCAGTGTGGCGAGATCATGCTTGGAATCGACTAGCTGGAGTATGATATACAGGATCTCAGTAGGCAAGGCCGGCGCTGCATGCCACGGTCGGTTGCATGTAGTGCATCGCTCTGAGGCATTCAAAACCCTAATGGAAGGCGAACGCGAGTCGAGCTTTCCTGTGGTAGACACTGAGTTGCAGGCGATAGCTTCTTGTGCAAGCCGAGACATGATGATCACAGTGCAAGTGTGCACCGAAGGCTATCGATTCGCGGTGAACAAGCGCGCACTCAAAAGTGCGTCTCGTGACCAACACCGTTTATATAACGAAGCGAGTTGGTATTTTATTCCCCTGCGTGGGTACTCGATAACACCCCTCTGGGATACGTTTGTTACAATAAACTACTCTACAGTCACATGAAAATCTAATACAATGCTGGCGGGAAGCTCGAAATGACGATGCGATGGTACAGCAGACTTGAACGAAGATAGTAATCTCTATGGTCCGCAATGAACTGGTTCGAGACCAGTAAGAGGAATCCAGTAATCGAATTGAGAGTTGGAAAGTGGGCGAAAGGCGAAAGGCGAAAGACGAAGAATGGTGCAAGGGCCAGGGGCTCTCAAGCAGTTGGGGCATCATCCTGCAGAGTCAACACCAGTCAGCACAGACGGTCGACAGAGATGTCTACCACATCCACTCACCCCGCGAACGAAAGTCAACATATGGCAGTTGATGTATCCCTTCAGGAATGCTGCACCGATATATGCGAAGTAATATTCCCATTTCCGCATGAACGTCTTGTACTCGACTGGGTCTCGCAGAGCCGGGAACTCCTTCGAGACGACGTCCTGCGTGATGTTCGCTCGGAACCGACGATCCCATGTCCGGAACGTACGCGGATAGTCTGCAATGTATAGGTTACTATCGGAACCAGTAGCGTATAGGTGGTCTGCTTACGGGCGGTGTGGTTGTCGATGCTGTGCAACGTGAACCGGCCTTGAGCGGCTTTGTATGCAGAGTTGACGAGCTTGCTCGCTGATGGCAAATTCGCGCCAGGCCAGAAGTACTTCCGCCCAAAGTCGATACCCCTTCAGTCGAAATATCAGCACACATTGAAATACTTGCAGGGCATCGCAGAAACTTACTGGTAATCGCTGTAACGGCACTCGGGGAAAGTGCTCGAAGTGACGACGGCGGCAGCGTTCCTCGGCTTCAACGCAAAGTCAAGGATCTTGAAGTACTCTTGATAATGCTGCGAGATCAACGATGCTCAGCATGGCCAACACGGTGCTGGGGGAGGCATTAGGTATGACGACGTACCTTGGGGCCAACATGCTCGATCATCTCGATACTGACAAACGCGTCAAACGCGTGCTCGAATTCCGCTGGAATGTTGCGGTAGTCAAGGAGGTGAACGCGGATACGGTCCTGCAATCCGGCTTCCCGGATACGCTCCTCCGCCAGAGTCTTTTGTTCTATGGACAGCGTGAGAGTGTCCACCTCAACGCCGTATGAGCTCGCGGCCTGGTAGACAATAAGTGAGCATGTGCTCCATTGATGGACGATCTGACCGAAGATTTACCAGGATCGCAAACCCTCCCCATCCTGTCCCGAACTCGAGCACTCGGTGCCCAGGTCGCAAGCGAGCTTGCTTGCAGACGTAGTGCAGCTTACGCAGCTGGGCTTTTTCGAGGCCGTCTGACTTCATGTCAATGTCGAAGTCTCCGTCGACGCCGCCTTCTTCGTCTGACCAGAGCGCGCAAGAGTACATCATCTCTTCGCTAAGGAACGCCTGAAGATGCTTTGGGTAAGTAATATGTTGACCGTCGTCAATGAGTTAACGAACCTTGAACAGCTCATTCGAAAGATCGTAGTGAGCAATGACGTTGAGACGAGCTCTCGAATGTGTTTGGCCGAGCAGCGCGTTCGTCCAACCGGTCACGGTGGCAGCAGCCCGGCCATAGAGGGAAGACACCTTCGATACTCCCGACAGATTATCGATAAAGAACTAGGTCATGTGAACGGTGAGAGCCAATCCAATCAAGTTGATAGAAAACCAACCTGTATGGTCTCGTAGGCATCATCTGCTTCGACTTCGCCCAACATGTAAGCTTCACCGACTGAACAAGTCGTATCTCAGGACAGGTTGAGCCGTCGAGAGCAAAGAGACTTACAACCGATATCCCCAGAACTGGCAGAAAGCCGTCAGAAAGGCTGTCTCAGCAGCGAAGAAAGTGAACTTACACTAGGACTCGCGTCCAGAAAGCCTCATCGGTGACCTTGAAGCGGACAGCATGGTCGCATTTATTGTGAGAGCCGAAGCGATAGAAGTCAAGGCCTTCCTCGATCTCCAAGTACCCAGTCTTGACGGCATCTTCCAAAACAGACAGAACAGATGACCGTGCTGTGCAGAATGTTCTCAGTCAAAGCGTCGATAAACATAACTGGCAAGAACGCACCAAAGGAGGCCAGCAATGATCGACTGTTAATGGAATACGAAGAGAGCGCAGACGTCAATGAGAGGGAGGTCATGGCGAATAATAAGCCAGGAACGGAGAGGGACCGTGGGCGTTGCAACAAAGGGCAGCAGAGAACTGCAGGACCATCCGGCTTCGCAACCTGCAGATTTATACAATTGGGGAGCGAGCGGGATTCGCACTCATTGTCGTTTCGAAACAAGGTCGTCCGCTCACAATCTCCGTTGGAACATTCTTCCAGTGAGACTTTTCTGGGAATGGCCTCGATACTCGCAGATGATCTCAGCAGTATTAAGTTTTCGTGACCTGCAAAGACAATTAGAGTGGCCAAAAAGAAGCGTGAGCGTCCGCACTAGTGCGAAAGTGATGCCTTGTGTCCGTTCCATCACAATTGGGCCCCGAGTGGCGGGGGAACCTGACGAGAAATGCCCAGCGTATTGAATAACCTGGCTCCCTTGACCGTCGGTGCTGCCACATACAGCACTCACCCGCGTACGTATTCCCGCGTGGAGTTCCGAATAGAATGCAAGCGAGCGGTTGGGCGGCCGCACCAAAGATTTGACGATGATATCCCGGTGCAATTTCCCCCGTCGAACGTGATATATTGGCGTCAAGAGACATTCTTCAGAGTATGTTCCGGTTTCGCAAGGAGACGATAGGCGTTAATGTGCGGCCAACGGGTACGTAAATGGACTGGTCGAGCATCACGTACGTAGAACAAAAAGGACGGAGGCCATCAACCAAACAAAGAATCGAGGGCGGGTTACAATCGATATCATGCGACCAAAGTGAGGCTGCGCACCTTGTCGACGGCGTCGCGTGAAGTCTGCTCCGTCCGCATCACTGGCGAATAATTGTTGCTGTAATTGTCTGCATCGTCACCATTGCAGCCTGCACACCCCGACCTACCGAGATGAACGCAGCGATATTACGATTATCAGATCCCAGCTTGCTTGAGCTGCATGTGCACGATGCCCTTGAGTTGGAGCAATGCCGGCTCAATTGTCCTTGCTCGGCAGAGTGCTGTGTGGTACCGCTGGGAGATGGCAACGATGATCATGGTGTGCGCGTACGCGGTGTGGCTGGCGCTCCGCATCGGATGATCTCAAGCGCTATTTACGCGGCACCGAGATTACGATTTTCAACAAAGCTGGCCGCATCGCCAAGTCTTGGTGGCTGCGCGAGTGATCGGGCATAAAATACATCCGCCAACACAAAAAGGGAGCAAGACCTCTGACGCGACGATCCGCGAAACAACACAGCGTCATGGTATAAGACGTTTTCTACAAGTTCATTATGAGCAGTCAGATATATCGTAAGTGGCGAACTGTGTGCGCCGCGACAGGAAGCTCATGCAGCTTTCGCTTTGCTGCCGTAGCGGTATGCCTCCGCCTCCGCTTCGGCCTTAACGCCCTCAGCCTCCATCTGGGCGTTCAGCTTCAACTCCATCGCGGCAAACTCCTCTTTGTTAGCGCTAGCTTTCTTCAGAGCAGCCACGCGTGCACGGTACTCATGGTACTTTGTATCGGTACCGGCCAGACGATCGCACCAGCGGAAAGACGTGGCGAAGTTGTTCATGAATGCCATGTGGTGGAAGTCATGGTGTTCGGCACCGGCCCAGAATGGGATAATGTGCTGCAGCGACCAAGGAAAGTCTACGCACATTCACCAGCAATCAGCACAACATCAAACGAGAATATGAGGGCATTACACATACCATAGCCACTGTGGGCGTCGACAGCCTGGAACAGACGCAGTGTAATCCACACATACATCGTGAAGATGTGAAGGTCACGGCGGAAGAAGCAGTATAGCAACGGGCCAGCGATGGTGCCACTGCCCAGGATCATGACTTCAGCAGGGTGTGCATACTCCGCAGCAAGACCGAACGGCGCAGGGTACTTGTGGTGGATCTTGTGGATGTGCTTGTACAGGGGACCCCAATGAAGTGCCTGGTGCGCTGTGGTAAAGTCAGCTAGCTGTCAGCACACTAGCATGGCATTGCTCACCATAAAAGTGGAAGATGTCCTCGAACACGAAGAAGAAGAGGACTTGCGGGACCATCAACTTCCACGACGGGAAAGGCACTTGCCATGTCGACATGCCGAACATTTCGGCCATAGGATGGAAGAACCAGATCTACACGACGACGAGCATAAGCACAATCATATTATCGGTATGGACACTAGAAACGCACCATTGGCAGCTCAATCGTGAAGTGGGAGTACAGGACCTGCTTCGTACATTCCCACTGCTCTTGCGGTGTTGGAATTTTGTTCGGCTGCAACTTCCACTTGCGGAAGTAGGGCATGGCGTCTATGATGATCCACGGGACGCAGCGGCCAAAGTATACAATCTACAGCGCGAAATTGATATCTCCATGCACGTCTAAACGCCAGCTGAACTTACCTCATGGAGTAGGAAACTCATCAGACCCGTGGCAAGAATAGGGTTACCGATCCAAAGATACCAGGCAGCCCATTGAGTCTCAAGCCAGTTGAGCTTGCTGAAATCGGTGTTGGCGTACAAGACGTCCGCCGACTCATATGCCGGAGCGGTCGAGTTCATCGTGATGCGTATATGAGAAGACGTTGACCGATGCCCAGCCGCTGCGTCCTAGGGAAGGTGGATGACAGTGAGTCCGTTGGCAGTCGTCCAGCGCTGCAGTTTATAATTCCCGCGTGGGAGGAAGCGTTTGTGGTACGATAGCATTAATGGGGCGTGGGAAGCCATGGAAAAATACTAAGACCTTCCAGGCACGTGGTCTGGAACGGCGGTGGCCTTTGATGTCGTGTTGTCGGCTATCCTCGCTGCTCGTGTCGAACGATGTGTTGAACATGCGACTGCAAAGCGACTGTAATATGTGATTAAACGCGAGAGCAGAGCATTCTGGTCTGCTGTTCCATCTCCCGGTGTCGTGTGGGAACGGCGTGGGAATGTCGGCAGAAAATATGCATCAACCGCCACAACGCAATCGCAGGCTGCATGCCACGCTCGATCGATACCAATATGTTTTATGTGTGTAGTCGGGACACACGAAAATAATGTTCATTCTCTGCTATGCCTTTGAGCATTGATAAGGAAAGGTAGGCAACAGAGGAAGAACGTCTGAAGTCCGCAAGATTGACACTTGATTAATCGTGACGCGCACGTCACACGGTCATCGTATATGTTCGAAGCCTACCTGCTCTCCGCTTGCGCTAAGGAAACGCCTCGATTTCAATTGCATGAGGGCCGAATACTATACAAGCTACAGCTGCAAATTCTGGCTCGCTCACTGGACTGTTGAATGATGACAATTGATCATAGCGCGATTTGGTCTGTACGTGACATGAACGATCGCGCATGTCACAACAGAGGGAGACACGCCCCACGTGACCCCTCCATCTACGCAGGAGGAAATTCACACTTTTCTTTTTCTTCTCCTCTTCCTCTTCACCCGATCCACACTGCTGGGGCGAGCGAAGAGGAAGAGACCGTCATTCTATACGCACTCATGGCCTTGTCTAACATCACCACCAAAATCGACGTTGTCCGACCTGTACTCGCTCGTTCCGCCAGCAATCACGTAAACGGTTTGCCAGCACCTGTCGTCACTCCTTCCCCAGACGCCCGTCCCGCCCTTGAGGCCGTGCTCGAGTTAGCTGATGGCACTGCGTTCCGCGCAATCAGCTTTGGCGCAGAGGGCAAGAGCGTAGCAGGAGAATGTGTATTCCAGACCGGTAAGTCCTCGTCAATGGTCTGACTTTCGGTGTCTCACCATTTCATCACGCGTTCTAGGCATGGTCGGGTACACCGAGTCCCTGACGGATCCGTCCTACGAAGGCCAGATCCTGATCTTGACCTATCCGCTCATTGGGAACTACGGTGTCCCTCCTCGTCCTACGGCGAGTTCCGTCGAGGATCTCCCTCCCGACTTCGAGTCCTCGCGTATTCATGTCGCAGCTGTCGTCGTGGGCTACTACTCGGACAACTTCAGCCATTTTCTGGCTGGTTCATCCCTCGGCGCATGGCTGAAGGAGAGCGGTGTGCCCGCCATCTACGGTGTGGACACCCGTGCCCTCACGAAGAAGATCAGAGAGAAGGGTTCCATGCTGGGCAAGGTCCTTGCCCGACGTGCAGATGTGCCTATGACAGTGGGAGGAAGAGCTCTCCTGCCATCTTCAGTGCCGACGTCGCGTGCTGCGTCGCCGTCAAACGCATCAGTCAATGGCGCATGGCGTGAGGACTTCGTCGATGTGCCTTTCCGCGACCCCAATCAAGACAACCTCGTAGCGGTTGTCTCTGCCGCATCTTCGCGTGTCTACAAACCTGTTGTCACCCCGAAGATGCATCCTGTTGAGAAGAGGCCACTGCGCGTCGTCGCAGTGGACGTCGGCATGAAGTACAACCAAATTCGTTGCTTCACCCATCGCGGCGTGGAGTTGAAGGTCGTTCCTTGGGATTACGACTATTTGGCAGAGTCCGAAGAGCCCTTCGATGGTCTTTTTGTCTCGAACGGACCCGGTGATCCTACGATGGTGAAGCCTACCATCGAGCGACTGTCAAAGGCGATGCAGAGCGCAGACAGGCCGATCTTCGGTATCTGTCTAGGTCATCAGCTCCTCGCCCTCGCTGCGGGCGCGTCGACGTCGAAGATGAAGTACGGAAATCGTGGCCACAATATCCCATGCACGGACGCGCTGAGTGGTAGATGTTACATCACCAGTCAGAACCACGGTTACCAGGTAGACACTGCATCGCTGCCGGAGGGGTGGAAAGAGCTGTTCCGAAACGCCAACGATGGTAGCAATGAGGGCATCTACAGCGTGGACAAGCCCTTCTTCTCGGTGCAGTTCCACCCAGAGTCGACTCCTGGCCCGCGTGATACCGAGTTCCTATTTGATGTGTTCATTCAGAACATTGTTGATTGCATTAGCACGCACAGCCTTGTCCCGATCTCCATGCCGGGCGGCACGAAGGAAGACAATGAGAAGCGTGTTCCGCGCGCGGACGTCCAAAAGGTGCTTGTGCTCGGCTCCGGTGGCCTATCCATCGGCCAGGCTGGCGAATTCGATTATTCCGGCTCACAAGCAATCAAGGCTCTCAAGGAGGAGGGCATCTACACTATTCTGGTGAACCCGAACATTGCGACGATTGCTACGTCCAAGGGCCTTGCTGACAAGGTGTACTTCCTCCCGGTGACGCCGGAGTTCGTGCGCAAGATCATCCTGTATGAGAAGCCCGACGGCATCTATGTCACGTTCGGTGGGCAGACGGCGCTGAACGTCGGTGTGAAGTTGAAGGACGAGTTCGCGGCGCTCGGCGTGAAGGTGCTCGGTACGCCCATTGACACCATCATCATGACGGAGGATCGCCAGCTCTTTGCGAGCGCCATGGCTGAGATCGGCGAGCGTTGCGCGGAGTCAAGCACTGCGACGACTGCTGAGGAGGCGATTGCGGCTGCGAACACGATCGGGTATCCAGTGATCGTGCGTGCCGCTTATGCTCTCGGTGGTCTCGGATCCGGCTTCGCGCAAAATGAGAAACAGCTGAAGGCGCTGTGCAGCAAGGCATTTGCGACCAGCCCGCAGGTGCTCGTCGAGAAGAGCATGAAGGGGTGGAAGGAGATCGAATACGAGGTTGTCAGGGACTGTCGGGACAATTGCATCACGGTTTGCAACATGGAGGTGCGCTTGTTTTTGGCTTCTTGATTCGCGGTTCTCATGGAGAAGGTAGAACTTCGATCCGCTGGGTATTCACACCGGAGACTCCATTGTCGTGGCACCTTCGCAGACGCTTTCGGATGTGGACTATAATATGCTGCGCACGACTGCCATCAACGTGATTCGGCATCTCGGCGTGGTGGGAGAATGTAACATTCAGTATGCGCTCAATCCCACGTCGCGGGAATACTGCATCATCGAGGTATGTTTCTCTTTCCGTTCCTCGAATTACACATAGTCTAAGCAAGGTCATCAGGTAAACGCCCGGTTGTCTCGATCCTCTGCTTTGGCGTCGAAGGCGACTGGGTATCCTCTTGCCTTCATCGCAGCAAAACTTGGTCTAGGCATCCCTCTGAATGAGATCAAGAACTCGGTGACGAAGTTGACTAGCGCCTGCTTCGAGCCAAGCCTGGACTACTGCGTGGTCAAGATCCCACGATGGGATCTCAAGAAGTTCAGCCGCGTCAGTAGGCTGCTGAGCAGTAGCATGAAGAGTGTCGGTGAGGTCATGAGCATTGGCAGGACGTTCCAGGAGACAATCCAGAAAGCTATCCGTGCCATTGACGATCAATTCAGTGGGTTCGCCAAGGTACGATTCTATAGATTGTAGGCGGATGGGCAGATCTCAACGTTCTCTTTATAGAATGACTTCGTAGAAGACATTGACGAGGAACTCATGAACCCGACGGACAAGCGCATCTTTGCTATTGCTACTGCATTCCACCGTGGCTACAGTGTCGACAAAATCTGGCAAATGTCCAACATCGACAAGTGGTTCTTGACGCAGCTGCAGTCAATCTATAAAATGGAGCAACGGCTATCGTGAGCAGTCTATAACCTGGTATTGCTCGTGCTGACCCGTGTTTAGCCAATGCACGATCTCTGACATTGGCAATACTATGCTTCGTCAGGCCAAGCAGCTTGGATTCTCTGACCGCCAACTGGCTTTCTGCATGGGTTCTACCGAGCTTGCTGTCCGACGTCTCCGCCAGGAATACGGTATCATGCCCTATGTGAAGCAAATTGACACTGTCGCTGCTGAGTTCCCTGCGTACACGAATTACCTCTACACGACATATAACGCAATTGAGCACGACATCAGCTTTGACGATCGCGGCGTTATCGTTCTTGGCTCTGGTGTCTATCGTATCGGCTCGTCTGTTGAGTTTGATTGGTGTGCAGTTCGAGCTATCAGGACGCTACGCGACAATGGTCTGCCGACAGTTATGGTCAACTACAACCCGGAAACAGTCAGTACAGATTACGACGAGGCCGATCGACTGTACTTCGAGAATATCAGCCTGGAGACCATTCTGGATATCTACGACACGGAGTCTTCCCGAGGTGTCATCATTTCCATGGGAGGCCAGACGCCCAATAATATTGCTCTGCCACTCTACCGTCAGAATGTCAAGATCTATGGGACCTCTCCAGAGATGATCGACACTGCGGAGAACAGGTTCAAGTTCTCTCGTTTGCTCGATGAGATTGGTGTCGATCAGCCTTCATGGAAGGAACTCTCCAGTCACGACGAGGCGCACACATTCTGCGAGAAAGTCGGCTACCCGGTCCTTGTCCGTCCCTCGTACGTGCTCTCTGGTGCAGCTATGAACGTTGTCTTCAGCGAGGCCGACCTGTCGAGCTACCTGACGCAAGCGACGGCCGTCTCCCGCGAACACCCTGTTGTCATCACCAAGTACATCGAAGGTGCAAAAGAGATCGAAATGGATGCTGTCGCAAAGGGTGGCAAGATGATCATGCACTACATCTCAGAGCACGTCGAGAACGCCGGTGTCCATTCCGGTGACGCGACGCTCATCCATCCGCCACAGGATCTCGATCCGGAGACTGTCCGACAGATTGAGGAGGCCACTGCCAAGATTGGAAATGCACTCAACGTTACCGGTCCGTTTAACATCCAGTTCATCGCGAAAAACAACGAGATCAAGGTCATTGAATGCAACCTTCGCGCTGCACGCTCGTTCCCCTTCGTATCCAAGGTCACCGGGGTTGATGCTATCGAGATGGCCACTAAGGCCATGTTGGACTTACCCGTCGAGCCGTATCCGTACATCGGCCTGCCAGCTGACTACGTTGGCGTCAAGGTGCCGCAGTTTAGCTTTAGCCGTCTCTCAGGGGCAGACCCGGTCCTCGGTGTAGAGATGGCTTCCACCGGAGAGGTCGCATGTTTCGGAAAGGACAAGTACGAGGCATACGTCAAGGCACTCATCTCAACTGGCATCGTTCTTCCGAAGAAGAACATCTTGTTCTCAATTGGTAGCTATAAGGAAAAGGTTGAACTCCTTCCTTCGGTCCAGAAACTGCATGCCGCCGGATACAATATCTTTGGTACCTCTGGAACTGCTGATTTCCTGAATGAGCATGGTGTTCTATGCAAGGTGAGTTTTATCTCGTGACGTGTGATGTTACCATTCACGTCCGCGAACAGTACCTGGAGACCCTTGGGGAGGACAGCGAGCAGAAGTCTGAGTACTCTCTAACACAGCATCTAGCGAACAATCTGATCGACATGTACATCAATCTGCCCTCGAAAAACCACTATCGTCGACCTGCAAGCTACGCCAGCAAAGGCTACCGTACGCGACGTATGGCGGTCGATTTCGCCGTACCTCTGATCACCAACGTCAAGGTTGCCAAAATTTTGTTTGAGGCACTCGTCCGCAGATTACCTCTGGATGTATCTCCGATCGACGCGAAGACCTCTCATGAAACGCATACATTCACCGGACTAGTAAACATCGCTGCATACGTGCCTGGCCTCACAGTTCCAGGCAGTTCGGACTTCGCCGATGCAACCAAGTCATCGCTCGGTGGAGGATTTGTTACGGCTCTCATTCTGCCCGTCGGAGAAAATGGCAAGATCACCGACCAGACGTCTCTCGGCCACGCTCGTACTGCTGCCGCGGCAGCTGCATACTGCAACTACGCGATGAGCATCACGGCCACTGCGGGAAATGTCAAGTCACTGGACGAAGAGACCCAAGCCAACGTGAAGTCGCTGTTCATCCCGTTTCACTACGACAAGCCAAACAGCCATGTGTCTGCTGTGTCTACTGTCGCAGAGCACTTCGCCTCCTGGCCGATCGATAAGCCTATCGTCACTGATGCGAAAGGCGCGGACCTGGCTCCGGTTCTCCTCGTAGCTGGCCTGCACGATCGCAGCCTGCATGTCACCAACGTACAAACAAAGGAGGACCTACTCTTGATCTCCCTCAGTAAGGCCAAGCAGCTCAAGGTCACCTGCGATGTCTCGGTCTATTCGTTGTTCTACACTCACGAGGACTTCCCTGGCACCACCTGCCTGCCTTCGGCGGACGATCAGAAAGTGCTCTGGCAGAGCCTCGACGTCATTGATGCTTTCTCTGTAGGAACGGTGCCATATCACCTTGCGCGTGAGCTCGGCAAGCCCGCCAGTGCATCATCTGGTGTCGAGGAAGCCCTTCCCCTCCTTCTCAACGCCGTCGCCTCTGGCCGTCTCACGCTCGAGCAAGTCCGGCAGCGCCTGCACGAAGCGCCCGTCCGCATCTTCGGCCTGCCAGACCAGAGCCACACGGGCGTCGAGGTCATCGTCGGGCGTAAGGCGAAATTCCACAACAAGGCCGGCACTTGGTCCCCGCTCGAGGGCACCGTCGTCAGCGGCGCGGTCGACCGCGTACTCGTGCATGGCCAGACGGTATTCCTCGATGGCGAAGTCACCGCGCCACCTGCAGGGAGGGACAACTCGAGTGCGACAGTCACACACGCCCCCTCCGAGCGCAGGATGTCGGTCTCAGGGCGCGGCCCCGAGATCCCTGGCGCGCTCGGTGCTGGTGTGGCGATAAAGGCTCCCGAGGCTCCCCCAGCACCGACGCTCGCGCTCGCCCCCTCTGCATCCGTCGCGCCCGTTTTTGGACCGGCGCCCGCACCGCGCGTCTTCACGCACCTGATCCCACATCCGGCATACCATCGGAAGCATATTCTGACCGTGAAGCAGCTGACGCACCGTGACGTGCACGAGCTATTTGCGCTCGCGCATGAGATGCAGCTACAAGTTGAGCGGAGTGGGATCCTTGACGTGCTCCGGGGTAAGGTGCTCTGCACTCTATTCTACGAGCCGTCGACTCGGACGCGCTCGTCGTTCGATGCGGCGATGAAGCGGTTGGGCGGCGACGTGGTCAACGTGAACGTGGAGATGAGCTCGGTGCTCAAGGGCGAGAGTCTGCCGGATACGATTAGGACGATGGGGTCCTACGCAGATGCTATCGTGATCCGGCACCCTGAGGTGGGAAGCTCACAGCTGGCGGCCAAGTTCTCGCCGGTGCCGATCATCAATGCTGGCGATGGGATTGGGGAGCACCCAACACAGGTACGTTTCACCGGCTTCGTTGTCAATTGCCTTTGCTGATCTCGTACACATCGTATCAGGCGCTCCTCGATGTCTACACCATCCGGTCCGAGCTCGGAACGGTCAACGGGCGGACGATCACTCTCCTGGGTGACCTCAAGAACGGCCGGACCGTACACAGCCTCGTCACCCTCCTGTGCATGTACAGCGTCCGCCTCAATTTTGTCTCGCCGCCCTCGCTCGCGATGCCCGCGACGGTGGTCTCTGCGGCGCGGCGCACGGGTTCGCAGGTGCGCATCTGCGAATCGCTCGAGGACGTGCTCGGCGAGACGGACGTGCTGTACGTGACGAGGATGCAGAAGGAGCGGTTCAAGGACGAGAGCGAGTATGCGGCGGTGAAGAACGCGTATCGGATCGATCATGCGTTGTTGTCGCGGGCGAGAGAGGAGATGATCGTCATGCACCCGCTGCCCCGGGTGAATGGTGAGTCATCAATTCGCTCTTCCGGCCAGCCACCCTTTGTGCTGTTTCTTACCCTGGCGGTGATTGACTGACCAAATCTTCCCATCCAGAAATCGATCCCGACGTCGACTTTGACTCCCGGAGGGCAGTCTACTTCCGGCAAATGCGGTATGGGCTCTACGTGCGTGTGATCCCATCTTATTTCTGTGTTCCCGGCGCTGTTCGCTGACCACTTGGCGCGCAGGTCCGTATGGCCCTCCTCGCGAGCGTCATGGGCTGAGACTCTCACGGACACGGCAAAAGACGAAGGGCAAAAGTAACCATATACTATACCTACTAATGATGTGGATGAACCTTATCGGCGTCGATGTCGGCGAAAAGCGACTGTCGCGGACGTGTATCGCGGCCTTAGTGCGCCCGAGTCGGGTGGATCTGTTCTATAAAAGATGGAGAAGGAAAAATGAACAATGCAGATGTATATTAGTAACAAGCGGTACCAGATGCGGTGTTCTTCGTTAGCTACATCAGAATGATGGGACGCCAAGGCAGCTCTATTATTTGATTCATGAGCGAGGCTTCCCCTCACGTGTCAGCACTGAGATGGGTTGTGTATTTCCTCTTGTGAAACAGCAACGACAGGCGCGGCACGGGCAAGTGGTCATTTGCGAATAAGGAACCTAGCGTGTTGATTGAAGGCACTAGGATAGCTTTCTCCCCTGGATCATTTGAATGAACGGGCCTTGTCAAGTTGAGTATTGGTCATATATTTGTCGGATTGTGTTCATGCTAAATGGATGGTCGCCCCAGACGGCCACGGCATCGATGTCGAGATTGAACAGTTCGGATAGCCATGTACCACGTAAAGGCTGCCACGCTAGGGTGCGTCGAAGGGAATCAAAGCCTTTCCAAACAGTTAGTGTCGATGGCGTGTCAATCATCAACGCTCATTTGAGCAAAAAGGTATAGCTGCCTTGAGCTGCGCACCTAAATTGGAGCCTATGTGTTGACGTATGCTGAGAAGGTGGAGAAAAAATCACGAACACTAATGTGTGGTCCCGGAGGGAGTGGAGTCGTTTCCGGTCGTCATGACGGTAGAGCTTAGGTAGGACTATGAGCGGGAGCTCAGCCCCGGTGTGTTGCGGGTCTAGTACGCTCGTATCGGCTGAATCTGTTTGCTACGGATCAAAGAAATTTAATGAATAATGCAGATGTATGACAGTACGTAAAAGTGTGATATTTTCGGTAAGTCAACAGCGCTCTGATTTTGCTGACCGATGACCGTGAGCAAGTCTCTCTTGTCTGCGCTCGAGATAGCCTTGCCGTGAGTGTTTGAGCGGTCGACTTAATTATTACGGTTCGCCATGCAAGGTGAAATGCAGTCTCCTTTCCGTTCAAGCTCATTCTACACTCTTGGTGCAGAATATTGCTATGCCGGCGGTGGACACACGTAAGAGTGTATTATCGGTACTCACTCATTTTCATATGGCCTGTGCGGCAGGAGTGGAACTTCCGCAGAAGCCTGACGTGGAATGTCTCAACACAAGGGCTGACGTGATGGCCTAACATGAATACACAATGAGTGGACAACATTATGACCGGAAGAGAAGCCATTCCAGCCGATTC